CTTGCAAGGCTGTTCCCAAAATGCAATCGGTGCTTACAGTAAGTATTGAGCAGCAAACTTGTGTTTTTCCAAAGTGATGAAGCTTTTGCATCTCATTGTACTAACTTAAATTGCATATCACGGCAGACATCTCAAAATACATAGTCTTCTGGGGGCTAAGCATATATTAATACATTTTGGTAGAGAGGAATATAGGCCTACTGTCATATAGGTTATGTTATCGGGCATCCTTCTAATTCCCTTGAACAACCAAGATTGAACTTTTGAACTCTTTATAATTTCTATTATCTAGTCCAGTTAAAGTCCAGGGGAGGAAGCCCCATCATAGTAAAGAGGATACTAATGTGATGTGTGTAGTTCTTCATAGCCTCTTCATTTTGCTCTCAAAGTGCACGGAATTGATGGATTTTTAACAGAATGTAGAAAAAAATTCTCCCGGGGGGGCATGCCCCCGGACCCCCCTAAAGGGGCTGTGTTCCCCTTGGGGCTAAGCCCCCCTTGTTCTTGAAACCTAGTGACGCCCCTGATTTCAAATATACCCTGCAAGTGCTGTTTCAAGACACCCTGTGTGGAATGTTGCATAGCCGCCCCAGAACATCAACAGAGGTGGAAGAGCAAGCAAATGAATGTGCTGCGCATGCTAACCCCCAATAAAATGTGTCATTGTAGCAATGTCATGACTTTAAATAAACATTTCAGGATTATTACAGTGTGATAATTGGAGTGTGCATCAAAGTTAGTGTAAGTTTTTTTTTTTTTTTAATAGCATTTCCAAAATCACCAGACTAACACAGATCAAAGGAGGTTACTGGGAGCCAGATTAGCTGCATGCTCTGGATTAAAACATTTATACAGTATAGGCTTATTTTTATGACCGTAAATGTAAACAAATACCTAGCTGGATTTACAGAAAACAGTGTTTTTCCTTTTATTGTTCCTCGGTCATACATAGGCTACAACATGCATTAGCTTTGATGTTTAACATTTTGTATTTTTTCCACTTGTTATTAGTTCCTTCATTTTTTTTCACAAAAGAGTTCTGACTTGACCCTTGCTCATTTTACAACGGAATGTCATATTTGTTAAAGCTCAATTTCCAAGAAAAAAAAAAAAAGACAAAATGTAGTAATCGGAAAATTATCAGTTGTACGTGGAAAGAAAACCAGGAGCAATTACAAGAAAGCGGTGTTCTGTGTAAAAACACAAGTTAAATAGCTTTAACTAGTAAAGACCTTCTCTCGTATTTGCTAAATAGGTTTGAGTTTCGAATGAGAAAACATCACACTGACAGGCTAAATCCTTAATTTGCAAATGTCACACAAGGACAGATGCGGTTCGATTTGTTTTGAAAGGTGCTGCCAAGTGCACCACCCACAATTCAAATGGGCCACTTACTGCATGTGGTTGTCCCGACTTAACATGAGGATACATTTCCAGCTCTGGCATACATCCAGGTTGTCCTCAGGAAGCCCCATATTTTGCTGCTGACTCAACACAGTTTAACATGTGCCTGCAGCATGTTGACTTGAGTGGATTTTGCAGATGGACAACGAGATAGGATAAAAGAAGCTGGATTGAATTACTTTTTCCTCAAATTGTGGATTGTCAGTACTTTAGTGATTAAATTCTCTTTGTACAGTACAGACTTTCCGTAATTTTACAACTCAAAACCAAAATAATAAATAAATGTTCCATCCATCCCAACCTTTCTCTTTTATAGATCTATATATTTTTTTCCATGTTTTTCCATTTTCCGATCCGCTTATCCTCACAAGGGGGTTATTTGAGCCTATCCTAGGTGTCTTCGGGCAGAAGGCGGGGGACACCCTGAACTGGTTGCCAGCCAATCGCAGGGCACACAGAGACGAACAACCATCTGCGCTCACACTCACACCTAGGGACAATTTGGAGTGTTCAATCAGCCTGCCATGCATGTTTTTGGAATGTGGGAGGAAACCAGAGTACCCAGAGAAAACATGCAAACTCCAAACAGGGAGGCCGGAGCTGGAATTGAACCCGGGACCTCTGCACGGTGAGGTCGACGCGTTAACCACTGGAACACGGAAATAAGTACAGAATTTGATTGCTCTTGACGCAAGGGTCAATGTGACACTGTTTGTTCCCAGCAGATATATTCCATTTATTTCCATCGAATGCACAAACGTTTAGCATGGAGGTGTGTTTATGGTATACGTATTTACATATTATATACATTGAAATATTTTGTTGACATTTTTTTTCACTTATTTATGATATATTGTTTCATCAAAGATGGAAATCCTCCAACTTTTTCATTCCCATATTAAAAGTGGTGATATTTTACATTAAACTAAGGACTATATTTACAAAAGTTTTGCAGCTAGTTTTTGAACAATGCATAACAAAGAGTTTAGTGTTATCTTTATTGTCTTTGATTATACCGGTGCAGTAAAAAGCCCTCTAAAACAGGGGTCCCCAACCGCCGGTCCGCGGACCGGTACCGGTCCGCAGGGCATTTGGTACCGGGCCGCACAGAAAGAACTTGCCTTAATTCCGTTTTATTTATTTCGGAATACGAAAGATGTTTTATTTTGAAAAATTACCGGATTCTCCGTTACATCCGTCTGTGTCACGCTTGACACACGTCAAGCCACGCTTCACCGTCACGTGACCGATTCCGCTTAAAAACAAAACACCAGAGCTCGCAAAATGAGTAAAAAAACTGCTGGAGATCAAATGACGGCGTCCTTAAAAGTACGTTCGAGACAACTGGATTAAAGTTATGGCTGAATATTCTGAGATCGCCACAGTAGCACTGTTGCTATTTCCGACATGCTACCTGTGTGAGGCGGGGATTTTCTGCAGCAACGGCGATTAAAACAAAATTACGAAGTAGACTTGACGTAAAACACACACTTGAGGTGTCATTGTCTCCTATTACCCCGAGATGGGACCGTCTGGTTGCAGAAAATCAAGCTCGGGGCTGTGGTGAGTCGTCATTTTCATGCACTTTGAATTTGCGTTGTATCGTATTTTGAAGGCATTAAACATTACCATAGCGATCAGAGTGTTGCGGCCAGATTAGACGCTCCTTGTGTTTATTATTATATTTCGAAAACACCACAGTTTTCGTGCAGCTCTTACCATCTTATTTTGTTGTATTATTTCCGCCACACCTTAAATGCCGGTCCCTGAAAATATTGTCTGGCATAAACCTGTCCGTGGGGCAAAAATGGTTGGGGACCCCTGCTGTATAGTACACACACACACACACACACACACACACACACACGCACACACACACACACACACACACACACACACACACACACACACACACACACTGGGACAGGTGGCAAAAAAGGAAGTTGAGCAATGTTCATCAAACACCTTTTTTGAATATCCCACAGATGAAAAGGCTTGGGAACTGGTGGGTGCCGTGATTGGGTATAAAAAGCACTTCTCTGAATTGCTCAGTCATTCATAAGAAAAAATGGGGTGAGGTCTTTGTGAACAACTGCATGAGGAAATAGTCATAAAGTTTCAGGACAATATTCCTCAACGTACAATTGCAAGGAATACTGTATAGTTCTCTCAGCCTGAGGTCATCTAAGGTGGACTCATGCAAAGTAGAAGAGAGTTCTGTGATCTGAAGAGTCCATCTGTCAAATGGTTTGTGGAAACTGTGGACGTCGTGTCCTCTGGGCCAAAGAAGAAAAAAAAACATCCAGATTGTTATGGACACAAATATAGCAGCGGCAATGGTATGGGGCTGTGCCAGTGCCATTGGCATGCCAACTTACACATCTGTGAAGGCACCATTCATGCTGAAAAGAATGTACAGGTTTTGGAGAAACACATGCTGCCATCCAAGTAACTTCTTTTTCATGGACAATTTCAAACGACATTCTGCACATATTACAAGAGCGTGACTTTCTTGTACGGTGACATGGTGGTTGACTGGTTAGCACAGCCACCTCACAGTGCAGAGTTCAATTCCAACTCCGGCCTTCCTCTGTGGAGTTTGCATGTTCTCCCCGTGCTTGCGTGGGTTATCTCCGGGTACTCCAGTTTCCTCCCACATTCCAAAAACATGCATGGCAGGCTGATTGAACACTCTGTCCCAAGGTGCGATTGTCAGTGTGAATCGTTGTTCGTCCATGTGTGCCCTGCGATTGGCTGGCAACCAGTTCAGGGTGTCCCCCGCCTGCTGCCCAAAGACAGCTAAGATAGGCTCCAGCATGCTTGTGACCCTTGTGAGGATAAGCGAATTAGAAAATGGATGGATGGATGACTTAGTAGTAAAAGAGTGCGGGTACAAGACTGGCCTGAAAATGTGTGCCGGTTTTTTGTAACATGTTACAGCTGTAAAATTCTGAGTTAATGATTATTTGCTAAAAATAACAACATTCATCAGTTCAAACAATGGATAGATTGTCTTTGTCGTGTTTTCAATGAAATATAGGTTGAATATGATTTGTAAATCATTGTATTCTTCCATCCATTCATCCATTTTCTAATCCGCCGATCCTCACAAGGGTTACGGGCGTGCACTCTTCGGGCAGTAGGCGGGGGACACCCTGAACTGGTTGCCAGCCAATTGCAGGTCACACACAGACGAACAACCATCCGCACTCACACTAACACCTAGGGACAATTTTGAGTGTTCAGTCAGCCTGCCATGCATGTTTTTAGAATGTGGGAGGAAACCAGAGTACCCGCAGAAAACCCACACAGGCATGGGGAGAAGATGCAAACTCCACACAGGAACTGAACCCTGCACCTCTCCACTGTGAGGTGGATGTGCTAACCCGTCAACCACCATGCAGCGATCATTGTATCTATCTAGCTATCTATCTATATGGATGGATGGATTTCCATTTCCATTGACATAATACTGTACCTTCCTAACTATACAACAGTGGAAACCATTTGTACAACTTATTATTTATTTGGAAGATAATGTACATGCAGACCTCTGCTGCTTGTCAATGAGACAAGTGTTTTTCAATCTTTTTCGAGCCAAAGCACATTTGGTTCATTGAAAACATCCTTCGGCACACCACGAGCTTAAAATGTGAAAAAAAAGCTCATTTTCACAGTTAAAGTGCAATGTTGTTATAATAAGCGTTTTTTTTAAATCATTGAAGAATAACGTTATAACACCTTGAATAAGAATCAAATAAACATCAATCAAATGTTTTAAAATTTTTCCAATTTATTCTCACTCGGTGTGATGAATGGTTTGGATGAACACAGATCTGATATCCTGGCAGCAATCGATGAAAGACACACGAAGCTCTTCCTCCACAGCTCCCAGTCGTTCTCTGTTATTCGTTTTTATCGCAGTCAGGCTATTTCCGAACGTCTCATTTACATTGCCACTGGGACTTTTGGGGATTTAGCCACAAGTTCAGCGACATGGTAACTTGCTTGCAGGGCTCATGAACGTTGCTTGTTTCTCCGTGTGTTCACGCAGGCGAACAAAATACTCCACATTTTTGTGTCGAAGTGAAGGGTGTTTTGTTTGGAGATGGATTTTAAAACTTACTTGGGCCCACAGCGCTGTTGGAGAGCTTTTCACCACATAGCAAGGACAACGGAGTCGGTGCTGTTGCATCTCCGGTAAAGTAAATCCAAATGAAAGATCGCTTTTTTTGTATTGCTTCACGCCAGAATCTTGGCTTGTCTCGAAGCACAAGGCAATTAACTAGCTGCTGCTGCTACCTACCGGTGTGGAAGAGTACTACATGATTACTCTGCCAGGTGATCGACTGCACAGGCATACAAATTGGATCATTTCCCACGGCACACCTGACAATATCTCGCGGCACACCACCGCGGCACAGTGTTTGAAAAACACTGAACTTAGACGACAAACAAATAAACAATGAGAAGAAGAATGAGCCTCCAGCGTGGACCTGAAATGAAATACAATATACACATTTTTATTATTTAAGTCCGAATGCAATTGCGGTGCAGGAAAAGCTTAATTTTAAGATACAATATATTCCATTGTAGTTAACACAGTTTAAATCAGGGGTGCTCAAACTACAGCCTATGCTGCAATTAACTTTCTTTTTAACTACATTTACAAAAAACAACATTTGACATGCCCCCACCCCTCGTCATTTTCCTGCATTGCATTACGTCCAACACGGACGTAGTTAATTCTCATCTCTCACTTCCTTGTTTTCCACCAATCACACATCATTCGGTAAGACGTCTACCCCTACTAATGCAAAGTAGTATTCTAAAGGTAACGAATGTCAAAGTGGCCTTGGTGTCCAGTGTTTTTGTATCCAGCCCTTGGAAGAAAGGTTTTGGACACCCCTGGTCTAAACAAAGCCATCTGACATCTACTTGGTGCACTCTTACTTGAGCGGCTCAACCCACTCTGAGGTGCGGAGGTGATGGACCCTAATGAGAGACAATGCCCCGTTACTCACAAGCATCTATCCTACGTTGATGTCAAACACAAAGTAGATGGACTCACTTGTCACCATGGCCAGTTCAATGGTGTGGTCTGAGAACTCGTGAGGTTTACTGACAGAACACACGTGACTTCCCAAATCCTTCATTTTGACCCGCTGGATGGTGAGCGTGATGCCGTTGCTGGTGTTGTTGATGGTGTAGCCAAGCGTGCAGTTCTGAAAGATCTTGTGCTTGATGTAGTGACACAGCAGCTCATTGCGAGGACTCCTCCACTGTACGGACAGTTGAGAGGCGGGCGTGTTGCCATGGTAATGCACACACGGAAGCGTAATGGGCTGACCTGGTTGACAGAGGACTTTGACAAAACTACCTGCAGACAGAAAACAACGTGGATATTTAAAGTCACAATATTAGCAGATTCTTATGGTGACCTTGGGTGTTTTTTTGAAAATGGATGAGAAAAGATAAAAGAAAATCCAATTTGAAGAAAATAGGTTGGATCGCACCTCCCAAATCTCAACACATGAATTCATTACTCCAGTCAAAAATCTTAATTTTATCCTCTATTTGTTGCGTTGTGATCAGTTTTTACCAAATTCCACGGAGTCAGCTCAGCAACCAACAAAAGAATATCGAGAGCACAAACCCACCACAAAGAACATTTCGAGCCCTGCGGTTTGTGTCCCAGAACTTACCTCCACCAATCAAGAGGAAACGCGTGAAAACATAGAAAAGTGCACCCTTCCAAGTCAGCTGAAAAGATCTTTTCCACATTTGGCAATCGTTTTCAACGATATAAGCGAACAGAATCAGACAGCTGGAGAGCAAAGTCAATAGGATATATCCATCTATCACTTTTGTTTTGACCGTGTTGGATCAGTTTACAAGCTCCTCGCAAGCAAATGGGTTGTATCTATGGTAACCAGGCATCGAAACACTCACAGAAACATGACACATCAAACTGAGGATCTTAGAATGTGTCTTGCTGCTTGTTGTTGTAATTCCGCCTTGGTCGGGTAACAAATAAACAACTGAAGAAATCTCTCAAACACAAAATCAGTTTAATGCTGCATTCATTTACAGTAGAAACACGCATACGATATGGAGAGATGTTGTTTTATTTTTTAACAGCGCCTTCAGATACATGGTCTATTTACACGCAATCACCATCCATTTTATTAGGAACATTTTGAGTTTCATCAGAATTATGGTTCAAAACATTTAATACCTGAATGTTCAGACAAAGTCCATGTCCTTACAAACGTGCATGAACAAATTATTTCCGTACCTTACTTTTCCAGGACTCATTGAGAAAATTATTATAGAACAGACATATTTCCTCATTGTTGACAAAACATGTTTTTGACTTGAGAAGATGCGAAACATCGGCAAAAATGAAGAGTTTCGATCAGAAACAGTTTTCAATGTGCAAAAATAAAATGACAGAAATAGCAAATCACATCTTATAGTACAGTACATCGCCTGTCACAACCCTCTCATGTTTACCCTGAAGCATTCTTCAGCGGACAAGCATCACATTCATCACAAGGCATACAAGGGCGGCCATTTCCATTTTCACAAGTGTGAGGCTTACTGCAAATGCCGGAAGTGCGTTGTGCGGAAAACACCAACAAGGCTGAACTGAGGTCGATAAGCCGGTCGGAGTGGGTTTGTCTCTGGACACTGCACAGAGATTTCTGCTGGACCAACCTCTTTGAAAGTGAGAGCTACTTCTTGGGTACTGGTGAATGCGAAGGCCTGCCAGTTTGGTACACACTTCTGAAATAACAAATTTGCTCATATTATGTTAATGTTATTAATAAGGAATGCGATTCATCGATGTGAAAACACTGATCACATTAATGATTTCTCACAATAATACAAAACAGATTAACACTTTGATTTCTGTCATTCCTTCAAGAGTTTACATTTTCACTTTGACAACATTCCAAGAAAATCACAATGTCCCATCACTGATGCGCTACAGCACAGGTGTCAAACTGCCATCGTGCATGTTTTCCATCGTTCCCTGTTGCCACACACCCGATTCAAATGATCAGCTCATCGGCAAGATCTACAGAAGCCCGATTTTGATCCTGCTCATTTGAATCAGGTGTGTTGCAACAGGGAAAGATGGAAAACATGCAGGACGGCGGCCCTCCAGGACCGGAGTTTGACACCTGTGCGCTTACAGTATTTGTGGAACAAGCCCGCAGGCTACTTACAGCCTTGGGGGGCTACCTGAAGCCTGCAGGCACCATGTTGGTGACCCCTGCTCCACACAAGGCCAACTATAAAATGACGTCGCAAAATCACTGAGACACACAGACAACCACTGTATGAACACACGTCATATTTTACAGTTGCGTCTTCTTTCAGCCCGTGCCCTCGTCGTGTTTGGCGTGTGCGCACGGTGCACTACTGGATGCCTCGAAACATACACAATGCAAAGACCATGGCAAAGAGCTGTAGGAACAATGGGGAAAACAGCTCTCAGTCTTGTGAACAGGACAGACATGTTGCCACAAACCCATGCACTTCCATTGAACCTGATTTTCCACAACAAAGAACTGAGTAGTGGAGGCTTCTAAATTGATGTGACTTCAAATGTCATTGTGTACCCATCTGTCATTTTCTGTAAATGTAATTTTCTGTCTATTATTTGTCTGAATTGTGAAAGCAAGAAGTGAGCCCATGTTGTTATGGGAAGAACACATACCTCAATTGTCAGCACCACAATGGCGAGCGCTCCTGCTGTGTAAATGTACGTCTCAAAGTAGTCCATCATTGCAGAGTAACAACCCTGAAAGAACAACAAAAACAACAACAACAACATTAATAAGCAAAAACCTGTTTGTGAAAGCGAGCGTACAGATCAGTGCTGTGCTTTTCGCGCTGTTTAACATCAGCGGTTCTGTGCATAACTCATTGTGATAGTTTTGCGCTGTTTCTTTACTCCAAATTAGCCCTCAGAGTTATTTAAACGCTCCAAAACCCAACATAAAATTTGATGTCTCCTCCGCGGCAGCAAATAGAAAGCTATCGTGTGTGTAGTTCTGCTTGCAGTAAAAAACAAAACTACACATCAACTCAATGTCTGCTCCTCATGGGAGCAAGTGGCAGCAAGCTGTTATGTGGGCAGCTGGAAATTCTGCCTGCATACACGGTTCTTTCAATCACAATTCAAACAGTGGCTGCCTGACATCATTAATGTGGCAAAAGACAAATTTGCCTGTGTCGTATTGTGCCAAAGGAAAAAAAAAATTGAAATAGACAAAAGAAAAACATCTGAATAAGATCCATCCATCCACTTTCAACAGTACTCATCCTGAACAGGCTCGGTGCAGGGAGGGGGGCTGGAGCCTATCCCAGCTGACGGACTACAACCTCACCTGGTCGCCAGTCAGTCACAGGGCACATATAGAGACAAACTACCATTCACACCCACATCGTCAATGAGTGGGAACTGACCCACGCTACCCGCACACAAAACCAGGCCAGTGTGTTGAATAATTTAATGACTGAATATGGCCATTTTTGTAACATGGGTTCATGATGTGGTCATGGTGTTGATTTTTCTGATTAGTCATTGTCTGTGTTGTTACAGAAAATAGTAGATACATGAATTCAAACAGAATATCAGTTTGTGTTCTATAACTTGGAAGGCTGTTCTACCATCTTGTGGCATTTATAGGCACTTACAAATGTCGACAGAGGGGTGTCGGTTACTCGTGTTACAAAATCAAGCTCCACCCTGACCAATTTAACCATGTTGGTTTAATAATATACTACATCATGAGAAAACAACGAGTGCTGCTGAGAGTGGCATGGTGGACGACTGGTCGGCACGTCGGCCTCACAGTGCAGATGTGCAGGGTTTGATTCCAGCTCCGGCCTTCCTGTGTGGAGTTTGCATGTTCTCTCTGTGTCTGTGTACGTTTTCTATGGGTACTCCGGTTTCGTCCCACATTCCAAAAACATACATGGCAGGTTAATGGAGCACTCTAATTTGTCCCGAGGTGTGAGTGTGAGCGCAGATGGTTGTTCGTCTCTGTGTGCCATGCGATTTGCTGGCAACCGGTTCAGGGTGTCCCCCGTCTACTGCCCGAAGACAGCTGGGATAGGCTCCAGCATGCCTGCGAACCTTGTGAGGATAAACGGATTACAAAATGGGTGGATGGAAGGAGTGCTGCGCAATGACAAACAAAATATCCATACCTATTTGTTTGTCGTAGTTGCATGTTATTGATGATACTTGTGTTGCCTGTACTATCGGAGACAAATTCCTTGTGTGTTCTACATACCGTATTGGCCCGAATATAACATGGTGTTTTTTGCATTGAAATAAGACTGAAAAAGTGGGGGTCGTCTTATATTTGGGGTCTAGACGTTATACCCATTCACGACGCTAGATGGCGCCAGATATTGAAGCGAATGCTGAACTTGACTCCCCAGGCCAAAGTGAACCCCTGTCACTAAGAATAAAAATAAGAATAGCGGTAGCACAAAGAAGAAAAATCAAAAATAGCAGTAAGAAAGAAAAGAGAAGAAAATAATAGAAGAGATAACAGAAAATGGAGAAACATAGCGACAATCTGGAGAAAAGTGGGTCGAAGATCGGCCAGGTTAACCGGCAGCTGAGGAGAAGTTATGATGTCATTTACATTTCAAAAACCAGAAGCCATTCATTTACGAATGTGATTGCATTTTAGTTTACGTATTTAAATATTAATATATTAAGATATTAAGATTTGAATGAGGCAAAATAACATGCTTTTTCTCTCAAATATATTGTTATAATCATTTGTTTCAGATGTGCTGTAATTATTTTCTGTATAAAAATAATTTGGTGTTCAAAAAGTCTTTTTTCAAACTTGAGTCTTGAAAAAGAGGGCGTCGTCTTATAATCAGGGCCGTCTTATATTCGGGTCAATACGGTACTTGGCCAAGAAAGATGATTCTGATTCTGAAAATAGGTAAAGTCGCCAAAGGGAGACATTCAAATGCCGTTTATTATCCTTTCACCAGTATTTTACAATTCCTTCATAATTTCAGGTACTCCTCATCCAATGTGTTTTCTCAGGAGACACTGACCTTGTTGTTCTGAAAGGCGGGGTTTCCACTGATGCACTGCATCATGCTGACATGCTCCATGTGTCCTTGGTAGTTGCTTCCTCGGCAACAGGCATCGGGAGTCATCTTGTTGGGGTTGCGGAGCCTGAAGAGACTCAAGCTGAAGTCCTCGGGGCCACTTACTCCACAACAGTCAAACTATACATCAAGACATGCAGGGGATCGATGAACATAAAAGTGGGACAAATAAGCGAAAAAGGTCGTGAGACGATTTAAAAAAAAAAAAAAAAAGATGCTTTACCGTGGTCATGATGGCATTCCATGTTGAGGTGAAGACGTCAGTGGTGTTGTTACCTTGATAATGGTGCTTTAGCTCCCGGGTGAAATACTCTCTGGTTAGCTGGGCAGACACACAGGTATGGATTGCCAATCATAAAAAAAGCAAAAAGAAACAAAACGGACCCAAAAATTTATTTCGGGTCTCTTGACTTTGAACCCCCCCCCCCCACACACACACACACACACTATATATATAAGGTGTAGTTAGCGTAGTGAAGTATTTGCTGTCTGTTTTCTATAAAATTGATCCAGAGACTACTGCTATGACTTACATGTTCTCTGAAGAAGAAAGCCAGCAGAGCAGCTGCCAGCTCAGCCAGGAAGATGAAAAGGATGAACATGAAGAACTAGGAAAGAAAGAAAAAAAAAGAAGTCATGTTCCCCACTGAGTGTTATGCTTGTTTGATTTGCTTCTTGTTCACACTGAGCAAATGCTTTATTTCAACACATGTTTCGCACGGACAGTAAATACTGGCACAGTTAAACGAAATCAGTATCATGTCTGTGAGTTTGAAAATAAACCTCAGTTCCTCTAGATGGTAGTCTTGTATCATCTCAGACTGGCCTTATGTAATTTAAATTTTTGAGTGTGTGCTTGAGAGGGAGGGAGGAGGTAAATCCCATGACAATGCCAGAATAAAATACTGCAAGATGCCAACATTTTTGGATTGTTTAACCCTTTCAGAGACAGCGGTTACTACAGTGGACAGCTTATCATGTTATCAGGTTACAGGGTGCATGAACGGGTTAAACACAACTATACATTGATGAAATGTGGTGTTGCTTGTATCTATATATCTGTTACAGTCATTTGATACTTAGAAACACCTTAAATACACCCAATGTATTTGTTACGAACAACCATATGTGATGCAGAATACATAATAGTGGTTTCATTCTTTCGATCGTGATCACGAAAGTATCTTTTGACACGAGTGCGGGTAGACAGGAAGCAGTCCAAGAGGAAACAGGAGAAGAGCTTCAACAAAAGTTGCTGTGGAAAGCCATGACACACAGTGGCATGACTGATTTGTGATTCGAGGTAACAGCAAGGGTCGGACTTTTCTGTTCAAGCAATGAGGAGAGCAGTTTATCAACCTTTAAATTGAAATCTCAGTAACGTTAATACAACAATCCCCTTTGAAATGACCCAAAAAGATGCCGCACTTAATATTATGACTTGAGTGCATAAAACAAAGTGGAACTCACAAAAAGAAGCAGACATTGGTTTTCCCGTAAGGCTCCACAGCAGCCCAGGAAGCCCAGCAGGAAGAGCATTGCTCCAATGGCCAAGATGACGTAGACCCCCGCAAACAGCAGGGGGTTGGCCGCCACAATTTCTTTGAAGCCCATCGGGTCAACCAGCACCCAAACACCAACACCCAGCATGAAGGAGCCTCCGAGCTGGGAGAGACAGCAACATGTGCTTTTAAATCCATCCATCCATTCTCCGAACCACTTTATCCTATGTTGTTGTTGTTTGTTTGTTTTTTTTTTGGGGGGGGGGGGGGTTGTTTTGTTTTGTTTTGATGCTGCAGCGGACTCACAAAGATGAGGAAGTTGAAGATGAACATCAGGTACTTCATACAGCTGAGGCAATCACCCTCCATGGCTGAGCATCCATGCACATACACGCCTGTAAGGTACACCCATAGAAAGTAATACGTAAAAGATATGATAATATAGATGAAACTTATGAGTCAAAGAGTTGCACATGAAATACAATATTGGAAAAACATCAATGTTGAATAGAACTACAAAACCATTTCAAGGATGGGAAAATGTGTTGTTGTTGCTGTTAAAAATGTGATTACAGTGTAACTATTTCTATCATGAATACTATTGCAAAGTGAAGATGCAACATTTATGGGTCTTCGGTCAATTTATACATTTTAATATACAGTATACATTTATCTAATATACGGTGGAACCTTGGCGTACAAATCATTTGCTCCTCGAACCGCAACGTTCGCAAACTGAGGTTACGTTTCTCACAGAAATGAATTGAAATGTGATTAATTCGTTGAGCCACAGAATGACATGGCGGTGACTTTATTTTGATTGTTGTTGTGTGGTGAAAAATAAATACCATGCAATGCAGAAATTGGGGAAAACACTATTTATTAATTTTGATTGGATTGGATTGGATTTGGATTGGATACAACTTTATTGTCAAATGTGCTGTAATATACAGCACAAATGAAATTTCTTCCCTCTCAACATAAAACAAGAAACAAGAGGAGCCACTGCGGGTGTCCGCGCCGCCATCAAAAGAAAAGTTAACAAAAAAAAAAGACAAAATAATACAAGACAACACATGAGACACAGACAATCGTGAGGACAGTTATATTCACTTTGTTATCGATAAACTAAATTCTTCCCAACGCATGTAATTCCGTTTGAAAATAAGACTTGTCTGCCACAAAAAATAAGCAAGAACGACATAAATATTCACTCGATCAGTTTTTCCCACTGAAGAGAGTGGTACCATTCACTCAGCCCCATATCTCCAGTTTTTGTGCAAATTTGTTTTGGGTTTTTGGGGGCTACTAGGTAGATACGACAATTTAACATTCGTGGATGA